TATTTGACAGAGAGAGACACAGGGAGAGAGAGAACACAAGCAGGGGGAGAGGGAGAAGCAGGCTTCCCGCGGAGCAGGGAGCCCGATGCGGAGCTCGATCCCAGGACCCAGGGATCATGACCTGAGCCGAGGTCAGATGCTTAATGACTGAGCCACCCAGGCGCCCTGCTAGGAATAAAATTTTTAACATGACGATAAACCTTTATGAAAATCTTCATTTATAACAAGCACTTTATTTACTTTTAGCTATTTCATAAATAACAGGAAGAAAATTTAACACAGTTTGTAATAAAACCTACAAAATTTCTTTCCCACAAAGTAAATATGTACATCCTTCATTTTGGCACCTTCTTTTGAAGAAATATTAAGTTATTTTGGGTTTTTGTTCATGAGGATGGCCTCAAAACTGACTCTCTAGGTGGTTAGTCCCTGCACAGGGCTTTCTGTCACTAGTACTATGACTTTTCTGACTTTGAAAATTATCTCAGCCAGCTCACATTTCAGTTCGTGGAACACTTAAAGCTTTGAGAAGCACAAAATCCCAAGTTGCGCACTGCTGAAGAGCATACTGAACACAGTAGATTTTTCTTTTTTGGTTTTTCCTTTCTTTTTTAAGTCAACTCTACAACCAATTTGGGGCTTCAACTCATGACCCCAAGATCAAGAGCCGCATGCTCTGCTGACTGAGTCAGCCAGGCACCCCTAGATTTTTCACTTATTAAAATATTATGATCCATTTAGCATCAGTAATTGAACAAGCTCTAGACATGTGGCTTTGGTTACCACCCAGCTTGACTAGGTCCCACCATGGGTCCTTTTTTTTTTTTTTTTAAATTAAACATGTTTTATTGTTAATGTCTTAAACAAATGGAAACACAACCCAAAATTTATTGGATGAGATAACAGATAACAGGAAATTTATAGCTACAAATGCTTACATTAAAAAAGAAGATCTCAAATCAACTAACTTTCACCCTGAGAAATTAGAAAAAGAGGAAACTAAACCCAAAGCAAGCAGAAGGAAGGAAATAACAAAGATTAGAGCAGGAATAAATGAAAGAGGAGACAGAAAAATAATAGTGAAAATTAGCAAAACTAAAACTGGTTCTTTGAAAGATCAACAAAATTGACAAAACTTTAGCTAGATTGACCAAGATAAAAGAGAGAAGACTCAAATAACTAAAATCAGGAATGAACGAGGTGACATCACTATCAACCTTAAAGAAATAATTATATGGGAATACTACAAACAACTGTATGTCAACAAATTAGATAACCTAGGTGGAAAGGACAATTTCCTAGAAAGACACAAATTACTAAGAGTGACTCAAGAGGGGGCGCCTGGGTGGCTCAGTTGGTTAAGCGACTGCCTTCGGCTCAGGTCATGATCCTGGAGTCCCGGGATCGAGTCCCACATCGGGCTCCCTGCTCGGCAGGGAGTCTGCTTCTCCCTCTCCCACTCCCCGTTTGTGTTCCCTCTCTCGCTGTGTCTTTCTCTGTCAAATAAATAAATAAAATCTTTAAAAAAAAAGATTGACTCAAGAGGAAATGGAAAATCTGAACAGACTTATGAGACTGAATTTGTAACCAAAAACATCCCACAAAGAAAATCCCAAGCCCAGATGACTTCACTGATGAATTCTACCAAATGTTTAAAGAAGAAATAACATCAATCCTTCACAAAGTCTTCCAAAAAAATAGAAGACGCAACACTTCCCAAATTATTACCTGAGGCCAAAACCAAAGATACTACAAAAAACTATAGATCAGTATCTCTTATAATTATAGATACAAAATCCTCAACAAAATAATAGCAAACTGAATTGAACAACACATAAAAAGGCTTTTCACTATAACCAAATGGAATGGATCCCAGGAATACAGCTTGGTTTAACATATGAAAATCAATCAATGTGGGGTGCCTGGGTGGCTTAGACGGTTAAGTGTCTGACTCTTGATTTCAGCTCAGGTCACGATCTCAGGGTTATGAGATTGAGCCCCATGCCGGGTTCCATGCTCAACATGGAATCTGCTTGTTCCTCTCCCTCTGCTCCTCCCCACCACCCTGCTCGTGCTCTCTCTCAAATAAATAAGCCCCCCGGGGGACTCTAACCCAGGACTCTGAGATCATGACCTGAGCCAAAGGCAGTAACTTAACCGACAGAGCCACCCAGGTGCCCTTAAATAAGTAAAATCTTAAAAAAAGAAAGAAAAAAAGGAAGATATCCCATGTTCATGGATTTCAAGAATTAATATTGATAAGCTGCCAAGATTTCCACAATTCATATACAGATTCAATGCAGTCCCTATCAAAATTCCAGTTGGCTTTTTTTCCCCATATATTGACAGGCTGATCCTAAAGTTCATTTGGAAATGCAAGGAACCCAGAATAGCTAAAATAACCTTGAAAAAGAACAAAGTAGGAGGATCCATACATCCTGATTTCAAAACTTACTACAAAGCTACAATAATCAAGACAGCATAATACTGATACAGGATACATACGCATATCAATGGAATAAAACTGAGAGTCCAGAAATAAACCCTCACATTTATAGTTAAATGCTTTCCAACAAGTATGCCAAGAAAATTCAATGGGGAAAGAATCGTTTTTCAACAAATGGTGCTGAAGGACTAGACATACACATGCAAAAGAATGAAGTTGGATCTGGGGCACCTGGGTGGCTCAGTTGGTTAAGCGTCTCCTTTCAGCTCAGGTCATGATCCTGAGGTCCTAGGATCGAGCCCCACGTTGGGCTCTCTGCTCAGCGGGGAGCCTGCTTCTCCCTCTCTGCCCCTCCCCCCGCTTGTGCTCTCCCTCTCTCACTCATATTCTCTCTCAAATAAATAAATAAAATCTTTTAAAAAAAAAAAGAATGAAGTTGAATCCTTATCTCACACCATATAAAAAATTAACTCAAAATGGATCACAGACCTAAATGTAAAAGCTAAAACTACAAAAATCTTAGAAGAAAACATAGAAGTAAACTTTTGTGACCTTGGATTAGGCAGTATTAAATACGACACTATGAAGTTAGACATGAAACCAAAAGCACAAGTGACAAAAGAAAAAATAGATAAATTGAACTTCATCAAAATTAACTTTTGTGGGGGCGCCTGGGTGGCTCAGTCAGTTAAGCGACTGCTTTCAGCTCGGGTCATGATCCCAGGATCCTGGGATCGAGCCCTGCATCAAGCTCCCTGCTCCGCGAAGAGCCTGCTTCTCCCTCTGCCACTCCTCCTGCTTGTGTTCCCTCTCTTGCTGTCTCTCTCTGTCAAATAAATAAATAAATAATCTTTTAAAAAAATTAACTTTTGTGATTCAGAGGACACTATCAAGAAAGTGAAAAGATAACCTACAGAATGGGAAAAATATTTGCAAATCATATATCTGATAAGAGATTTGTATCCAAAATACATAAAGAACTCTTACAACCAACAATATAAAGACAAATAACTCAATTTAAAAATGGACAAAGGATCTAACGAGACTTTTTTCCAAAGAAGCTATACAAGGGGCTGGTAAAGACATAAAAGGTGTTCAGTGTGATTATTCATTAGGGAAGTGTAAATCAAAACCACAAGAGAAATAACAAATTTTTAAAAACCACACAAGATATCACTTCAATAACAAGTGAGGATATGAAAAAATTGGAACTCTCATACATTGTTGGTAGGAACGTAAAAGGATACAACTGCTTTAAAAATAGTTTGGCAATTCCCCAAAATGTTTAACATAGAGCTACCATATGACCCAGCAATTCCACTCTTCTAGGGATATACCTAAGAGAAATGAAAACATGTCCACACAAAAAACTTGTACACAAATATTCACAGCAGCATTATTCATGATAGCCTCAAACTGAAAACAACCCAAATGTCCACCAACTGATGAATATATAAACAAAATGTGGTATGCCCATACAATGAGATATTACTCAGCAATAAAAAGGAATGATAAATGATAAATGCTACAACATGGATGAACTTTGAAAACACTATGACAAGTGAAAGAAGCCAGACTCACAAAAAAGCATATGTTATGTGACTTCATTTACAAAGAATGTCCAGAATAGGCAAATTGATAGAGCCTGAAAGCAGATAAGTGATTATCAGGAGCAGAATGTGGGGACAAGGGAAATGTCCACTACAAGGTTTCTTTTGGGGTAATTATGAAATTAGTTGGGATGAATGCAGAAAACTGTGAATACAGTAAAAATTGTTGAACTGTACACTTTATTTTTTATTTTTTATTTTTTTAAAGATTTTATTTACTTATTTGACAGAGAGAGACACAGCAAGAGAGGGAATACAAGCAGTGGGAGTGGGAGAGGGAGAAGCAGGCTTCCTGCCGAGCAGGGAGCCCGATGCGGGGCTCGATCCCAGGACCTGGAATCATGACCTGAGTTGAAGGCAGACGCTTAACGACTGAGCCACCCAGGCGCCCCGAACTGTACCCTTTAAAAGAGTAAATTTTATGGCATATAAGTTATAGCCCAATAAAACTGTTATGTATAATAAAATGTATTATAAATAAAATACATTATGTATATTATTATAAAAATGTTAGTATTTCCATATCACACATATAAAAGAGCAAATAAAACATATATGGGCAGTTTGGACAATAATAAAATGTACACAAACATACATACTAGCTTAAGAAATAGAACATTACTAGTACATGAAGAACCCTCTATAAGTTCCCACCCATTCTATTCCCTTCTTCCCCCAGAGGTGACCACTATCTTAAATGTTCTATAACTATTAACTGCCTTATATTTCTTTATAATTTTATGAAGAAAATTAGATTTATTTATTTTATTATAAAGAAAATACATTTGTTATTTCATTGTATGAATATATATCCATGTGCATTCATTTCCTGAATTATGGACATTTATGTTGTTTCCATTTTTTGTCTTATGAATAACACTGCTGTGACCATTCTGGTATACGTTTCCTGGTACACATATGCAAAAATTTATGCAAATTTTTTATCCAGAAGTAAAGCTGCATGTTCAACTTTACTAGATAATGTCAAGCTTTTTTCCAAAGTGACCTCACCATTTACACACCCACGGGCAGTGCATAAAGCATCCTACCCTTGAAAAAATTTTATAGAAGTGAAATCAAGTAAAAATGGATTCAATAGTAACTGTGACTGAGGGGTGGGAGAGTAGAAACAAAGTTAAAAAAATATCTTAAGGTAAGTGTGGAAGAGGGGCACCTGGGTGGCTCAGTCAGTTAAGCATCTGCCTTCGACTCAGGTCGTGATCCCGGGGTCCTGGGACTGAGCCCGCATCGGGCTCCCTGCTCCGCAGGAAGCCTGCTTCTCCCTCTCCCACTCCCCCTGCTTGTGTTCCCTCTCTCGCTGTGTCTCTGTCAAATAAATAAATAAAACCTTAAAAAAAAAAAAAAAAGGTAAGTGTGGAAGAAGCTCTTGTGGGGCTGTGCTCTTTCATCTTAAATTGCCCACCTTTGTTTAGTGAGAGTAAAGGGCTAATAACATGGATAGAGGAATGGACCACTCATTTGTTCTCAGCTTTTGTTGTGGTGGTATTTAGCTTTACCTCCTAAATCTGCACAGTAAAACTTCTGTTGTAATAATTTAGAAATAAAATGTTGAGAAGATTGAGGAAAAGAGCTGAGAGCAAAGCAGTCACTTTGGAGGCTAGCAAGATGCCACACAATGACAGACTGAAAGTTGTTTTGATTTTAGAAGACTTCCATCTTCAGGCACAATTTACCTTTTGACGCTGGTACCATCAGAGGTAGTTGTTTATTGATGTGTTGTCCACAGGGGATGTGATGTCCTATCAGTTCCCAAGCTATAGATCCCAGAGGACACTGAAATAAAGGCAAATCCAGTCAATTACATGCAACTTTAGGATATCTTCTGCAGGCTGTACCTAAGTTGTATGTATGAATTTATCAACACTTTTTTTTTTAAAGATTTTATTTATTTATTTGACAGAGAGATAGAGAGAGAGCACTCAGTGGGCAGAGGGAGAGGGAGAAGCAGGCTCTCTGCTGAGCAGGCAGAGGTAGAGGGGGAAGCAGGCTCTCCGCTGAGCAGGGAGCCCGACGCGGGGCTTGATCCCAGGACCCTGGGACCACGACCCGAGCTGAAGGCAGCCGCTTAACTGACTGAGCCACCCAGGCATCCCTTATCAACACTTTCTTGACAGTACATGACACACTAGCATTTTTTTGTGGTGGTGTTGACCACTCTTTGTTAAAGAGTAAGACTAAGCGGTGCCTGGCCTGATCAGTCAGTAGAGCATGTGGCCCTTGATCTCAGGTTCAAGCCCCACATTGCGGGTAGAGATTACTTAAAAAAAAAAAAAAACTTTGGGGGGCGCCTGGGTGGCTCAGTCATTAAGCATCTGCCTTCAGCTCAGGTCATGATCTCAGAGTCCTGGGATTGAGCCCCGCATTGGGCTCTCTGCTCAGCAGGAAGCCTGCTTCTCCCTCTCCCACTCCCCCTGCTTGTGTTCCTGCTCTCGCTGTCTCTCTCTCTCCGTCAAAAAAATAAAATCTTAAAAAAAAAAAAAAAAAGAAAGAAAGAATCTTCTGATCCCCGCCTCCCCACTCCATTTACAGGGACTGACCCTTCAGTAACCAGTTTGACCCAAGCTGGGCCAATCAGATTCTCTTTCTCAGATGGTTGGAAATGGGACTGAGAAAGTTAAATTAGCCTCTTTGGATGACTAGAACTATTACGTATACTTGGAAGTTCTGGTATGGCCATCCATGTTCTTCTCTATAGCCTTAATAACTGGGGAATCCTATCTGTAGAATTGCCTCACACCTTGGTCAACACTTCTTCCTGTATTATAGTATCAGTCTTTTGGCTTTAAATACTGTTGCTTCATGGGGCGCCTGGGTGGCTCAGTTGTTAAGCATCTGCCCTCGGCTCAGGTCATGATCCCAGGGTCCTGGGATCGAGCCCCGCATCGGGATCCCTGCTCAGCGGGAAGCCTGCTTCTCCCTCTCCCACTCTCCCAGCTTGTGTTCCCTCTCTCTTTGTGTGTCTCTCTGTCAAATAAATAAATTAATTAAATAAATAAATAAATAAATAAATACTATTGCTTCATGGTCAACTAATCTTCAACAGAGCAGCAAAGAATATCCAATAGAAAAAAGACAGTCTCTTCAACAAATGGTGTTGGGAAAACTGGACAGCAATATGCAGAAGAATGAAATAACCACTTCCTTATACCAGATACAAAAATAAACTCAAAATAGATGAAAGACCTAAATGTGAGACAGGAAACCATCAAAATCCTAGAAGAGAACACAGGCAGCAACCTCTTTGACCTTGGCTGTAGCAACTTCTTATTAGACATGTTGCTGGGGGAGAGGGAAACAAAAGCAAAAATGAACTATTGGGACTTCATCAAGATAAAAAGCTTCTGTGCCGCAAAGGAAATAATCAACAAAACTAAAAGTCAGTCTACAGAATGGGAGAAGATATTTGTAAATGACATATCCAATAAAGGGTTAGTATCCAAAATTTATAATGAACTTACCAAACTCAACACCCAAAAAACAAAAAATCCAGTTAAGAAGTGGGCAGAAGACATGAATAGACATTTCTCCAAAGAAGAATACATCCAGATGGCTAACAAACACATGAAAAGATGCTCAACATCACTCATCATTAGGGAAATACAAGTCAAAACCATGATGATATACCATCTCACACCTGTCAGAATGGTTAAAATGAACAACACAAGAAACAACAGGTGTTGGCAAGGATGAAGAGAAAGGGGAACCCTTTTACACTATCGGTGGGAATGCAAACTGGTATAGCCACTGTGGAAAACACTACGGAGATGGTGCCTCAAAAAGTTAAAAATAGGGGACGCCTGGGTGGCTCAGTCGGTTAAGTGGCTGCCTTCGGCCCAGGTCATGATCCCAGGGTCCTGGGATCGAGTCCGCATCGGGCTCCTTGCTCAGCAGGGAACCTGCTTCTCCCTCTCTCTCCCTCTGCTTGTGCTCTGTC